TTTGGTTTATTCTTGATGTAATATGTTGTTCGGGCTTGCCCCCATGTGGACCGCTCCAAGGGGAGATGGTGGCGGGGTATAAATGAAGCTTATTATTATTTATTATTATATACCCCCCCCCAAAAAAAAAAACAAAAAAACGAACAACCCAGTGATTCCGGCCATGAAAGCCTTCGACAATATAGAGCACCGAGTAGTCGGAGCCCATTAATAAAAACATGAGGAGAGATAGGTGATTATGGGATCAATTCAGCCTGATGTCCTTGGCAAAACTATGAATTCCCTGATTTTGGACTTTTACAGAGCCCTGGAAGGGGAGGGGTCACCCCTGATCACATACCCTTTCACACTGGAAATTGCAATAAAAACCTATGCTTCTAAAGCTATTAAAAAGTCGTTCATGATAAAAGGAGCTCCATAGAATCAAAGAGTTGGAAGAGACCTCATGGGCCATCATCCAGTCCAACCCCATTCTGCCAAGAAGCAGGAATATTGCATTCAAATCACCCCTGACAGATGGCCATCCAGCCTCTGTTTAAAAGCTTCCAAAGAAGGAGCCTCCACCACACTCCGGGGCAGAGTTCCACTGCTGAATGGCTCTCACAGTCAGGAAGTTCTTCCTCATGTTCAGATGGAATCTCCTCTCTTGTAGTTTGAAGCCATTGTTCCGCGTCCTAGTCTCCAGGGAAGCAGAAAACAAGCTTGCTCCCTCCTCCCTGTGGCTTCCTCTCACATATTTATACATGGCTCTCATCATATCTCCTCTCAGCCTTCTCTTCTTCAGGCTAAACATGCCCAGCTCCTTAAGCCGCTCCTCATAGGGCTTGTTCTCGAGACCCTTGATCACTTTAGTCGCCCTCCTCTGGACACATTCCAGCTTGTCAATATCTCTCTTGAATTGTGGTGCCCAGAATTGGACACAATATTCCAGGTGTGGTCTAACCAAAGCGGAATAGAGGGGTAGCATGACTTCCCTAGATCTAGACACTATGCTCCTATTAATGCAGGCCAAAATCCCATTGGCTTTTTTTGCCGCCACATCACATTGTTGGCTCATGTTTAACTTGTTAGCAAGCAAAAGGAAACAGTGATAAGGGGAGATATGCCCAGTTAAATGCGCAATTCCAGAGGTTAGCCAGAAGAGATAAGGAACTATTTTTAAATAAGCAATGCATGGAAGTGGAAGAAGACAACAGAATAGGAAGGACAAGAGACCACTTCCAGAAAATTAGAAACATTGGAGGTAAATTTCAGGCAAAAATTGGTATGATAAGAAACAAAGATGGCAGGGACCTAACAGAAGCTGAAGAGATCAAGAGAAGGTGGCGAGACTATACAGAAGATCTGTATAGGAAGGATAATAATATTGAGGATAGTTTTGACGGTGTGGTGAATGAATTAGAACCAGGCATCCTGAGGAGTGAGGTTGAATGGGCCTTAAGAAGCATTGCTAACAACAAGGCAGCAGGAGATGACGGGATCCCAGCTGAACTGTTTAAAATCTTAAAAGATGATGCTGTCAAGGTGATGCATGCCATTTGCCAGCAAATATGGAAAACGCAAGAATGGCCATCAGACTGGAAAAAATCAACTTATATCCCCATACCAAAAAAGGGAAATGCGAAAGACTGCTCAAACTTCCGTACAGTGGCCCTTATTTCTCATGCCAGTAAGGTAATGCTCAAGATCCTGCAAGGAAGACTCCAGCAATACATGGAGCGAGAGTTGCCAGATGTTCAAGCTGGGTTTAGAAAAGGCAGAGGAACGAGAGACCAAATTGCCAATGTCCGCTGGATAATGGAGAAAGGCAGGGAGTTTCAGAAAAACATCTACTTCTGCTTCATTGACTATTCTAAAGCCTTTGACTGTGTGGATCATAATAAATTGTGGCAAGTTCTTGGTGGTATGGGCATACCAAATCACCTTGTCTCTCTCCTGAGGAATCTGTAAGGACCAAGTAGCAACAGTAAGAACTGACCATGGAACAACAGACTGGTTCAAGATTGGGAAAGGCGTACGGCAAGGCTGCATCCTCTCACCCAACCTTTTTAACTTGTATGCAGAACACATCATGCGATGTGCGGGGCTGGATGAATGCAGAGCTGGGGTGAAAATTGCTGGAAGAAACATTAACAACCTCAGATATGCAGATGACACCACTCTGATGGCCGAAAGCGAGGAGGAGCTGAGGAGCCTTCTAATCAAGGTGAAAGAAGAAAGCGCAAAAGCCGGGTTGCAGCTAAACGTCAAAAAAACCAAATTATGGCAACAAGAATGATTGACAACTGGAAAATAGAGGGAGAAACCGTGGAGGCCGTGACAGACTTTGTATTTCTAGGTGCAAAAGATTACTGCAGATGCAGACTGTAGCCAGGAAATCAGAAGACGCTTACTTCTTGGGAGGAGAGCAATGTCCAGTCTCGATAAAATAGTGAAGAGTAGAGACATCAGACTTGCAACAAAGATCCGCCTAGTCAAGGCCATGGTATTCCCTGTAGTAACCTACGGATGTGAGAGCTGGACCTTAGGGAAGGCTGAGCGAAGGAAGATCGATGCTTTTGAGCTGTGGTGTTGGAGGAAAGTGCTGAGAGTGCCTTGGACTGCGAGAAGATCCAACCAGTCCATTCTCAGGAAATAAAGCCCGACTGCTCACTGGAGGGAAAGATACTAGAGACAAAGTTGAAGTACTTTGGCCACATCATGAGGAGACAGGAAAGCCTAGAGAAGACAATTATGCTGGGGAAAGTGGAAGGCAAACGGAAGAGGGGCCGACCAAGGGCAAGATGGATGGATGGCATCCTTGAAGTGACTGGACTGACCTTGAGGGAGCTGGGGGTGGTAACGGCCGACAGGGAGCTCTGGCGTGGGCTGGTCCATGAGGTCACGAAGAGTCGGAGACTACTGAACGAATGAACAACAACAACATGGGAAACTGGTGCCATTTTTTTAAATCAGCAGGTGGGGGGGGGGGGGCGCTGAAGCCCCCAAAGCGCCCCCCCCCCATCTACATGCCTGTCCAATATCATTCCTTGTATAAAAGTTCTGTAATCTGACATACCCTCTCACACTGGAAATTGCAATAAAAAGAACCTATGCTTCAAAGTCATTGAAAAGTCATTCATGACAAAAGGAGCTCCAGAAGTTTCCCCACTTGCGTAATTACCATAACTGAAAAAGTAACGAAATGTTGTTACTGTCGTTATAGTAACGATTTTTCCCTAACTGCATTTTAGAAACGAAATGCCAGCACCCTCCCAGTTTTGTAATATTTTTTGAACCTTTTCCAATGGGTGACACATCAATTGTCATGATAAATCACTTCCATATGGAACTTACAACCTTCCTGAGTATCCTGTCTACACTACACTTTGTAGCGCCATTCTTCCACTCCCAGCTGCCATCGCAACGCGCAATTTATTTGTCGTGTCAGAGCAACCAGTCCATTATATTACATTTCTAACAGAACAAAGCAAACAGAAAAATACACAACTTGTGAGTTTGGTAGTTGATTAAATGTCCTTTGACCAGTATCTGGCCACTTGGAGTGCTTCTGGTGTTGCCGCAAGAAGGTCCTCCATGGTGCATGTGGCAGGGCTCAGGTTGCATTGCAGCAGGTGGTCAGTGGTTTGCTCCTCTCCACACTCGCATTTATTTATTTATTTATTTACTTTGCTTGTATACCACAGTTTCTCAGCCCGTAGGCAACTCAACGCGGTTCACAACAAGAGCAAAAGTCAATCCAACAACATACAAAATTTTAAAAACCATTAACAACATAATATACATGGTAATAACACATTAATACCAACACATTACAAATCGTGATCCAATTCGTCATCCATAATTCCGTTCCTATATTCCTATATCCTATATTCGTCGTGTACATTGCACTGTTTATCTGAATGCCTGTTCAAACAGCCAGGTTTTTAGTTTTCTTCGAAACACCATTAACGAAGGGGCTGATCTAACGTCCATGGGAAGGGCGTTCCACAGCCGAGGGGCCACCACAGAGAAGGCCCTGTCTCTCGTCCCCCGCCACTTTGCAGCCCCATTTCTGAAGGTTGGCTCTGCATCTCATGGTGCCAGAGTGCAGTCTGTTCAGCGCCTTCCAAGTCGCCCAGTCCTCTGTGTGCCCAGGGGGGAGTCTCTCATTTGGTATCAGCCATTGGTTGAGGTTCTGGGTTTGAGCCTGCCACTTTTGGACTCTCGCTTGCTGAGGTGTTCCAGCGAGTGTCTCTGTAGATCTTAGAAAACTATGCCTGGATTTAAGTCGTTGACGTGCTGGCTGATACCCAAACAGGGGATGAGCTGGAGATGTCTCTGCCTTGGTCCTTTCACTATTGGCTGCTACTTCCCGGCGGATGTCAGGTGGTGCAATACCAGCTAAGCAGTGTAATTTCTCCAGTGGTGTAGGGCGCAGACACCCTGTGATAATGCTGCATGTCTCATTAAGAGCCACATCCACTGTTTTAGCGTGGTGAGATGTGTTCCACACTGGGCATGTGTACTCAGCAGCAGAGTAGCATAGCGCAAGGGCAGATGTCTTCACTGTATCTGGTTGTGATCCCCAGGTTGTGCCAGTCAGCTTTCGTATGATATTGTTTCTAGCACCCACTTTTTGCTTGATGTTCAGGCAGTGCTTCTTGTAGGTCAGAGCACGGTTCAAAGTGACTCCCAGGTATGTGGATGCGTTGCAATGCTCCAGTGGGATTCCTTCCCAGGTGATCCTCAGAGCTCGGGATGCTTCTCTGTTCTTGAGATGAAAGGCACATGTCTGTGTTTTAGATGGATTAGGGATCAGTAGGTTTTCCCTGAACTACAATCCCCAGAGTTCCGCTGGGAGAAGGAGGGGGCGGGGCTTGGCGGCGATTACGTCATCTATTTTCTCCCGCCCTATTAAGCTAACACTCTGGAGCCTCTAGGGGGCGCGGGCTGCGGGGGACGCATGCGTGGTAGAGCCCGACTTGCGCGACATCTCCCCCTCCCAAGCGCCGCTGACGCGGACGCTTCCGGAAGTGACGCAAAGGGGCGCTCGAGCCGAGCCCAGCGGCCTTCCCCTCGCTGTGGTGACATTTCTTCTTCTCGCGGTGAGTGCCTTCCTTCCTTTTCTCTTCTTTGGAAAGCCGTCCGAGTTTGGGAAGCGGCCCCTGGCAAGAGGGGAGGCCCAGCAGCAGCAGCAGCAGCAGCTCAGGTTATGAGGTGTGGGATTATCTGTGTGGAGAGAGAGGGAAGCGTGGGTCCTAAGCGAGGAAGGCCTCACTTCTCCTGAAAAGGCGAAGGCCACAGAATCACCCTCAGCATGTTCATGTCCAGAGGAGGGCGACTAAAATGATCAAGGGTGTGGAGAACAAGCCCCATGAGGAGCGGCTTAAGGAGCTGGGCATGTTTAGCCTGGAGAAGAGAAGGCTGAGAGGAGATATGATAGCCATGTATAAATATGTGAGAAAAAGCCACAGGGAGGAGGGAGCAGATCAAGGGTTTGGAGAACAAGCCCTATGAGGAGCTGGGCATGTTTAGCCTGAAGAAGAGAAGGCTGAGAGGGGATATGATGAGAGCCATGTATAAATATGTGAGAGGAAGTCACAGGGAGGAGGGAGCAAGCTTGTTTTCTGCTTCCCTGGAGACTAGGACAAGGAACAACGGCTTCAAAGTACTCCAGAGGACAGGAGCAGGATTCAAAACAATCTTGACAGATTAGAGAGATGATTGGCCAAAACTAACAAAATGAAGTTCAACAGTGACAAATGCAAGATACTCCACTTTGGCAGAAAAAACGAAATGCAAAGATATAGAATGGGGGGGTTGGTGCCTGGCTCGAGAGCAGTACATGTGAAAAAGATCTTGGAGTCCTCGTGGACAAGTTAAACATGAGCCAACAGTGTGATGTGGTGGCAAAAAAAGCCAATGGGATTTTGGCCTGCATCAATAGGAGCATAGTGTCTAGATCTAGGGAAGTCATGCTACTCCTCTATTCCGTTTTGGTTATTGGAATAATGTGTCCAGAGGAGGGTGACTAAAATGATCAAGGGTGTGGAGAACAAGCCCTATGAGGAGCGGCTTAAGGAGCTGGGCATGTTTAGCCTGAAGAAGAGAAGGCTGGGAGGAGATATGATGAGAGCCATGTATAAATATGTGAGAGGAAGCCACAGGGAGGAGGGAGCAAGCTTGTTTTTCTGCTTCCTTGGAGACTAGGATGCGGAACAATGGCTTCAAACTACAAGAGAGGAGATTCCACCTGAATACGTGGAAGTACTTCCTGACTGTGAGAGCCGTTCAGCAGTGGAACTCTCTGCCCCGGAGTGTGGTGGAGGCTCCTTCTTTGGAAGCTTTTAAACAGAGGCTGGATGGCCATCTGTCAGGGGTGATTTGAATGCAATATTCCTGCTTCTTGGCAGAATGGGGTTGGACTGGATGGCCCATGAGGTCTCTTCCAACCCTTTGATTCTATGATTCTATGATTGCTTGTCTCTCTCTATTCTCGCAACATTTTATTTGTTTATTTATTTGCTATATTTATATACCGCCTCTCTCAGCTCATAGCATCAACATCGAAGCATAAAAATACTGTAAAACAATTAAGATAATATAAAATCATGATAAAATCAATAAAAACATATGTCATTCGAGTCTCCTTGTTAAAACCATTGTCCAATTACATTCGCCCAGTCAGTCCACTTTCCTATTTCCGTTACGCTGTATTTGTAATCGCTTGCTCAGAAAGCCAAGTCTTAATTTTCTTCCAAAATGTTAAAAGGAAGGGGACCGATCTATTATCTCTAGGGAGGTCATTCCCTAGCCGCGGGGCCACCGCTGAGATCTGCATCAATAGGAGTATAGTGTCTAGATCTAGGGAAGTCACGCTACCCCTCTATTCTGCTCTGGTTAGACCACACCTGGAATATTGTGTCCAGTTCTGGGCACCACAATTCAAGAGAGATATTGACAAACTGGAATGTGTCCAGAGGAGGGCGACTAAAATGATCAAGGGTCTGGAGAACAAGCCCTATGAGGAGTGGCTTAAAGAGCTGGGCATGTTTAGCCTGAAGAAGAGAAGGCTGAGAGGAGATATGATAGCCATGTATAAATATGTGAGAGGAAGCCACAGGGAGGAGGGAGCAAGCTTGTTTTCTGCTTCCCTGGAGACTAGGACGGAACAATGGCTTCAAACTACAAGAAAGGAGATTCCATCTGAACATGAGGAAGAACTTCCTGACTGTGAGAGCCTTTCAGCAGTGGAACTCTCTGCCCCGGAGTGTGGTGGAGGCTCCTTCTTTGGAAGCTTTTAAACAGAGGCTGGATGGCCATCTGTCAGGGGTGATTTGAATGCAATATTCCTGCTTCTTGGCAGAATGGGGTTGGACTGGATGGCCCATGAGGTCTCTTCCAACCCTTTGATTTTATGATTCTATGATTGCTTGTCTCTCTCTATTCTCGCAACATTTTGTTTGTTTATTTATTTGCTATATTTATATAGCAAATAAATAAACAATTGTAAACCACCCTGTGTCTCAGCTCATAGGGTGGTTTACAATCAACATCAAAGCATAAAATACTGTAAAACAATTAAGATAATATAAAATCATGATAAAATCAATAAAACACATATGTCATTCGAGTCTCCTTGTTAAAACCATTGTCTAATTACATTCGCCCAGTCAGTCCATTTGCTCAAAAAGCCAAGTCTTAACTTTCTTCCGAAATATTAAAAGGAAGGGGGTCGATCTATTATCCCTAGTGAGGGCATTCCACACACACATATATATACATTAAAACCTTTAAAACATATAAAAGCACTACCTCCACAATTAGCCTCGTCATCCAAAAACATTGTCTAAGCTGTTCCAGTATTCGATTTCACCTAGTTCTATGTTTATCTATTGCACTTGTTCAAAAAGCCATGTTTTCACTTTTCTGCAGAAGGTCTGGAGGGAAGGGGCTGATCTAATATCCCTAAGGGAGGGCGTTCCACAGCTGAGGGGCCATCACTGAGAAGGGCCTGTCTCTCGTTCCCGCCAGCCATGCTTGTGGGATAGAAAGCAGGGCCTCCCCAGATGATCTTAAAGTCTTAGGAGGTTCATAAGGGGAAATGCGGTTGGACAGGTAAGTTGGGCCAGAACCGTTTAGGGCAGGGGTCCACAAACCTTTTAAACAGGGCCAGGTCACAGTCCCTCAAACTGTTGGAGGGCCGGATTATAATTTGGAAAAACATGAATTCCTATGCACACTTCACATATCTTATCTGCAGGGCAAAAAAACTACTTATAAATAATACAATAATTAAAATGAAGAAAAATGTTAACAAATATAAATTTATTAGTATTTCAATGGGGAGTGTGGGCCTGCTTTTGGCTGATCAGCTAGGATTGTTGTTGTTGCTGTTGTGTGCTTTCAAGTCATTTCAGACTTAGGTTGACCCTGAGCGAGGGCCGGGTAAATGACCTTGGAGGGCCATATCCGGCCCCCAGGCCTTAGTTTGAGGACCCCTGGTTTAGGGCTTTATAGGCTAAAGAGAGCACTTTGAATTGTGCCCAGTTGCAGACTGGCAGCCAGTGGAGCTGGCACAACAGAGGGGTTGTATGCTCCCTGAGCGTCACTCCTGTTAGCAATCTGGCTGCCGTCCATTGGACCAAATGAAGTTTTTGGACAGTCTTCAAAGGCAACCCCATGTAGAGTGCGTTGCAGTAGTCTATATGGGATGTAACCAGAGCGTGGACTACTGTGGTCAAGTCAGACTTCCCAATGTATGGGTGCAGCTGGTGCAAAAGTTTTAACTGTGCAAATGCTTCCCTGGTCACCGCCGAAACCTGGGCTTCCAGGCTCAGTGATGAGTCCAAGATCACACCCAAGCTGCGAACCTGCACCTTCTGGGGGAGTGTAACCTAGTCCAGCACAGGCTGTAACCTTATGCCCTGTTCGGCCTTACGACTGACCAGGAGTACCTCTGTCTTGTCTGGATTCAGTTTCAGTTTGTTTGCCCTCATCCAGACTGTCATGTTACCTTCATTACAGTAGCTTTTGAATTGATTGGATGCTTACTCTTCTGTGGATTCCCTGCCCAGTAGTTATAATAATAGCTGGGTTACCTCTCTCCTCACAGCATATTACCTTTATTCTGTTTCCTTTGTGTCTCTCCCTATGAACCATCTAGGACCAACCCAATTTTCTTAGTTTCTAACAAATCTCACAACCTCTGAGGATGCTTGCCACAGATGCAGGTGAAATGTCAAGAGAGAATGTTTCTAGAACATAACCAGACAGCCCGAACAACCTACAACAACTCAGTGATTCTGGCCATGAAAGCTTTCGACAATACAACGATCTAGGAGTTTAAGATCATCTGGGGAGGACCTGCTCTCAGTTCCACCTTCTTCTTAGGCACAACTGGCAGGGATGAGAGACAGGGCCTTCTCAGTGGTGGCCCTTCAGCTATGGAATGCCCTCCCTTGGGGATATTAGATCAGCCCCTTCCCTTCTGACCTTCTGCAGAAAAGTGAAAACATGGCTTTTTGAACAAGCCTTTGGGGACCTAGTGCAATAGATAAACATGGAACTAGGTGAAATCGAATACTGGAACGGTTTGGACAATGTTTTTGGATGACGAGGCCAATAGTGAAGGTAATGGTTTTATATGCTTTTAAGGTTTTAATGTATGTATATTATAATTCTATTTTAAATTGTTTTAATGGCATTGAATTGATGCTTATATTGTAAAGCCACCCTGAGTCACCTTTGGGTTCGAGAAAGGAGGAGTAGAAATAGCGTAAATAAATAAAAAAATATGGTCTCACAATTATTATTATAATGATAATACTGTATCAATAATAATTATTGGTTGCCTCTCTTCACAGCATATTATCTTTATTGCAGTAGCTTTTGATTTAATGGGATGTTTGCCTTTCAATAATAATAATAATAATAATAATAATTTAATTTCTTACCCGCCTCTCCTCTCATGGCAGGTTACAAAACAATTGAAATACACAAAGACAGCAAAAACACTACACATACATACACGCTAAAACTTACCTTCATAAAAGTTACATGCCAAAATGTATCTTTATGAAATACATTTTAAAACAGAGATTAA